ATGACAGGCAGGCAGGCCAGGCCGACCAAATTAGTTGACAGGCACAGGCAGGCTTGAAATGCAAAGGCCTGTCACGGACCGGCCAGGCCTACAAAAACACGGCCTGGTTGATGCTCTGATGTGCACACACTGAGCAAGTAGTTTCACTGAAGTAAAACGATCAATGAATATAGTATAAGGTGAAACGATAAGGAAAAATACTGTGGATATTTATTATTAAAAATGTACACAGATAAATGAGACTTGCGAATATTATCTGCTAGTAAACCTAATAAGTGCAATGCATGACAGTTTTTATTTTCATTTAGATAAAATGAATGAATCGAAGCATCATGATTTTCTTAGTCAATTATTAGACGAATGGTATTATAAGAATAAATTAGAACTAAATCTTCCAAACGAGAAGTTCATTGAAGGTACAGATTATAAGTTAACTTTATTGTTAAATCAAGGATCAGAAGAAGCTGTTATATCATGCGCTTGTGGTATTCGAATAAATTTACCAAAAGAACGAATGAATTTTTCACTCAGTAATTATTACAAACATATAAGACAAAAAAATGTATAATGATGAAAAACAAAAGAAAATCTATCTCACGCAATACAAATGACGATGATGATGATGATGAAGATGATGAAACCTCTCAACAAGAAATATTAGAAACTGATGTAGTTAATACTTCTACAACAACATCATCAAACATTACCGCTAGCAATAATCAGTCCTGTTCTACATCTAAGAAACGTACAAAGTCTCCTTCACATAATGATTATTCGAGAAAAATTCGACAACGTTCATGAAAAATTATTTCAAGTTTTATATTAACATTATACAGTGTTTTCTTTTATTTTAGAAACATTTAATAGATGTATTTTTTAATTAATACTTCATTTTTATTCCCATGTACATATTTTATTTGTTTTTTATGTACAAATTCTATGTGCTTTTATTTTAGCTACTAATGATAGAAATAAAATGTCACTGAAATATCAGGCAATTGTATAAAATAAAAAAACAATGGTACAATTCTTTGATGCCGTTGTATTGCATAAGATTTAATTGTGCGCATACATTCTAATTTATAGTTAACGTGTACATTAGATAATTGTTTGAAAAACTGCTCAGCATATTTTTCAATATAATTCATGTAATCACGTGACATGTTCATTGTATTCTTTTATTCGTATCGATTTTATGTTTCTCCAGTTGGACGGTATATAGCGCCGTCTTTCTTATTTATTCTTAGAAGTCGATTTTATTGGCCCCTAGTTACTAAACAATGAATATTCAGGATTCATAAAAATGAATTGTGGGCACTAAATATACTACTAGATCTAGAAGATTTTTATGATAATTTCTTATATTCTTATCTGAATAATTATTTATTAAATTTATGTTCTATTTTTAGATATATTTTCTTTATTACTTACTCGGTCATCTTAATTGCTCATATATTGCAATCATTTATATTCGAAAAAGTTAATCAAGTTCTGCTGAATACGGTAACTATATGATCTATTGAAAAGGAGTATCGTATTTTATTATATGTTTATATTTTAGATAAAAGCGAAAAAGAAACACTTTACAAATGTATTCTTCTTTAGAATTACTAGATGATGTTCTTACTTATCGTGATAAAGATTTTTTTGATTTAGTGCATAAAAAATGTGGAGAAATTGTAAAATATTTGATGGAAAAACTTTCTATCGATTCTATCAGAACATTACTTGGGGTTGAAGATGATATTTTCTCGATCGTAGAAGAAAATTGTAGCGCTCTAAAAGATATAAAGGAACGAGCATGTTTATGTCTGGATGATGGTACTGTAATTGTCAAGCCAGGTTTACGTATCGATTTAGATCGATTCATTGAGGCTTTGCGTACCAAAAGTATTCATAGTCAAATATCAAAATCAACAACAGCGTCATCTGATAACGATTCTTCATTATCTAATACACTAGCAAAGTTTAATATGTTTGAAGAGAATAGTAATTCTTTTCTTAAAGACTTTATCAATAACATTGCTAGTAATAAAAAAAATCGAAGAACAATTATCAATATAGCACGTCAGTGCAAAGTTTTTCTCAAGCATTATATATTATGGGAGGACGCAACACATAAGAATTTGTTCGTTTGAATCTTTCTGGTGCAGTACCATCGATCACTTCTATTGATAGTTTCATTTCAAAAGCTGGCGGAAAGATTATGGAAGGCGAATTTCGATATGATACTCTCCACCATCTCCAAACTTCAAACAATTATCAACTTGCTGTCTGCTCTGAGGATTGCACTGGTGTAATCTAGAAAATAGCATATGATGCACCCATGAATACGTTCATTGGATTCTCAACTCCACTCGATCGTGGAATTCCTGTTCCTCAATATTTTCAGACTGACTCGTATGAGCAATTGAAAGTGTGGTTCGAGAACGAAGATAAATCGAGTCTTTTAAATGTTCATATGTTGGAGCTGCTTACAACATCAAAATCTTCTTCATCTTCATTTCTTTTAGGAGCTTATGGAATTACTAGCGAATTCAACTCAATTGATGTTCTTCGTCGGTGGCTATGGATATTTCAATATTGTCAGACATCAAATATTCGAATTCTTGCTTTTTCCACGGACTGTGATCCTAAATATTTACGTGCAATGCGGCTCATTACCGGATTTTTCGCTAAATTGCCTAATATACCGATAAGCGAACGTGATGATGCACTTGAACTAAAGTTACCGAAGGGATGGTCATCATGGTTTTACATGCGAACACGTCAATTAGCTTTTTGCTTTCAAGATCCAGTACATCTCTGTACCAAAATGCGTAATCGTCTTCTTTCTCAATCGGCCTCAATGATGATTGGCAATGGAGAAATATCGGTAAGTATACTATTTGATTTAATTAACCATCAATCAAAATTAATTCACGGATTAGTAAAAACAGATGTTCATCCAAAAGATAAACAAAATTTCGGCTCATGTGTTAAGATCTCGAGTGATGATGTTTTATCTGCTCTTGATGATGTTTCTGGCTCGTATGCCATACAAGTTTATTTAAGACTGTTGCGTAGTATTATACTAGCTTATATTGAAAGAAGTACATCAACTATCGATCGAATATATCATAGTTGGATTGCAGTGTTCATTTGCCGACTTTGGTGAGTTTCGTTACAATTAACTGAGGTGAAAAATTTCTCAACAAAATATCAAGACAAGAAAAAAAATGATTTCTTCATTACAAAGGCTGCATATCATTCAATTGAAATCAATGCGCATACATTTCTCTCAGTTGTTCTTCTTGTTTGTCAATATGATTTGCCTGAATCGACTCTATCTATATCTAGCTATAACTCACAGACATGTGAAAATATATTCAGATTAACAAGATCAATGTCCGGTACATTCTCATCAAATGTAAATTTCACGGTCGCCCAATTTCTCAGACGGTCTGTAAACTTGCAGTCTTACAAGAAATTGAAAGACAAAACGAACAAGATGACTCTAAATGTTCTTTACAGTTTCCTAAACATCATAAACGACGTCTGAGAAAAGCTGAGCATGTCAATGATCATTTACAAAATAATAACATTTTAACTCAAAATAATATTGAAAAAACTGTCTACCGTGCTGATAATGACGCGTATAAAATGCTAGCTGTACTCGGCATTGATAAAGTTTTAAAAAAAGCACATAAAAGTACTTTAACTGAACTCAGTACATTTGTGAAGATTCAAACTGAACAGCAATCGCACACTACTGACTACAGTGAAAATTGGAACGGCTACTCTGATGATGAATCAGATTCCGAGGCAGAAAATACTATTGATCAATCTGATATGAGCACAGAAAGTTCTTCGGAAGATGAAAATGATGAATTAATGACTAACTCTAGTTACAAAGGATCACAATTTAAAGGAATAAGAATCTTCAATGGCATTCCTACTTCACAAACCAAGTCACATTTTCGTCTTAAAATCGATAAAAATGAAAAATATGTTCACAAACAAACTGCTTGCTGGCTGCTGACCGACGACAAAACTACACTTTCAGCTGATCGACTTCAACGTGTTCAGCAGACAAATCGATAATATTATTTAAGAAAGAGAGATTGAATATTTGTAATGTGTGGTGTGTTTAACATGCGAAAAAAATGTAGCTTATGTGTGGTGTGTCTGTCTTCTATGTAGAGTGTAGTGTGCAATATATGTGAAATGTAGTGTGTGGTATGTATTTGAAAGGTTGTATGCAGTATATGTGTATATGAAATTTTGCTTGTAATTATATGTTTATGTGTGGTGTACAAACGCGTCAGGTGAAATAATAATAAAAACATTTTAATCTTTATTTGTTAATTGTTAACTACTTTTTTGTAAACAAAACAAGAAAAAGAAATATTACTCTTCTCAATACAGTAGTCTTGGCATCCATCTTATTGGTGACATGTTCTGGTTTCTGATGTTGAGAGAGGACGTTTCTTTTACTTATTTTTTTTATCCTCCTTGAAAATTCAAATATTTTTGATGATTATTTAGATAATAGTACCTTGAATAATGGAGTATATCGCAGATAATAAGAATATGTAGACTAAGAATGAGATATCAAGGATACTGACAATACAGAAGTTACAGAGGATACATACAATCCCTTGGGATCCAGAGGATCCATCCGCAATACATAGGATACGCACGATACATTCAAGATACGGACGATACAGAAGATTCAGAGGATCCCCCGATCCCGCGATCCGCTTTCCCCCCTTGAGTAGAACTGAACATGGCAACAACTAGCCGCTGCTCTGCAAAGTTTACTGCGAGAACTCTTCTGATTGTTATAATTCATAGGAAAAATATCCACTGTGTAGATCAGGTCGGTTTCAATACTAACCAGAAGTAGCAAATAAAATAAGAAGTGTTTTGAAATGAAGTATGAGAAAGATTGTACTCAATTTGCACAGTATCTGAATAGATAATATAGTGAACAATATCACGAAAAGAATTTAGAATTATACCAGTCGATGTGGATTTTAATGAAATAAAATGTTTTTTTCGGATGTTATGTGCTCTTGTCTGTATGTAGTGACGTGCCTACACTAATCTGGGTATACCAAGGGGGAAAGTACTGATTCAACTCAGACGAAGCTCAAAATAAATCACCGAACTCATAACTCATCGTTTCCCCCTTGGGGTATACTGAAAATGAGCTGTCTCATCCGGTGACCACTTTGAATGAGCGCTTTACTCAAATAGCATATTCCGACTATCGGCTGATTTATTTAATATAGATTTCCTACTGAGCCCGTATTGTTGCAGCAGACACAAGCAAATAATATTATCGCTTGATATATTCGTGACTACATGGAGTTTTATTAGACTTTCTATGGTGTATGGTGCGTTTTAACGTTAGTACTGTGGATGTGCTTTCTTTGTTGATTTTCTCTGCAAATTGCGTATACTCTCTTTTCACGAGATGTGTGGATACAGCTGCCCAAGTATTGTTCATTTAGAGTTTTCCTCGACATTATTTCGTAGACATCACTTAGATTCGATAAATTTATAATGAAAAATATCACAGGAGCACGCATGTCATCGTGCCTAACGCTATTGTTTCGAATATCAATATTCGGACTAACATCTAGCCCTTTTCCAACGTGAGATGCTAGTTTTTTTTCTGTGAGCTGTAAAACAGTGTGCAATACCGAAAAGTCTAATATTCAGTCGAGGGTCCATTGAGTGTCACAGTCGTGCGTTACTTGTACTAATTGCATTTTCTTATGCAGAACGGAGAGTACACACCTTCCTACATTTCCCATTTCCTTGACTGGTTCATAACTTGGAAATGTGATTGCTTATCTTTCATGTTTCAAATATCAGGGCTGTGGTGATCACTTTTGCACAAAGTCTTTAGATATGTCTGCTCTTTGTGACCGGTCAACTCAACTTGACAAAATGGCCAGCAGTCAAACACATCGGCGATACCAATGCTTTCTGGGTGATTTTTTTGCGCTGCCACGTCATAATGACGAATCAAAGCTTGAGCAATGCTTCGGTTAGTAACCACCATTTCCGACCGAATAGGTATAGACCAAGCAGCTATGTTGTGCCGACACACACTGGTTCTAATTTGCCATCGATAATAATAAGATGAATCATTTTTGAATCCATGGATCAGAAAGTCCGTTTCGAGGATTGTATTTTCAGGTTCTCGATAATCGCGTGCAAATGAATGACCACGTCGTAACAGCCAAATATGAGCAAAGCGTCGCTGACCAGCAATGGCACATTTGATACAACCGACGTAACGATCATACCACGTCTCATTGAGCGATCCATACCATAGATCAAAGCAAGCAGGATGCATCTTCCCTACTGATAAAGCAAAATGTATATGAAGCGCTCCATTATCGTTGTTGTGGTAAGGCACTGATGGTAATATGGTATACATGTTAATCCAATTCAAAAGATAAATATATGACCACTGACAATTGTAAATAAGATAATTACCGGCAGAGATTTCGCCATTATAGAAGCGCTCACTGTGCACTACATAAATATCGGGTACACTTGGTATATAATCCTCGATTTTCTTCGATGAGTTGACAAGCACATTATCACCATCGAGAACCATCACCCAACCGATTTTGGGATGCGTTATTAAATAGTGAAGCACTGCGCAATGCTTTCGAAAAAAAAAATTCGATATATGCGTACATAATATATGCGAACTTGGATCTAAATTCCTAAAAATATAGCCATGACTGACTGCATAGCAATATAATGCAGCACCAAGCTGGCTATACTTTGTTTGCATGGACTTATCGGACACAACTAGAATACTTATTTTTAGAGTCACATTTTTACTCCTCATGAATGAGCTTCTATAGTTTTTTCTCAAAAGATTCAACCGAGATTTTAAATCATTTGAATCAGGCTGATTTTCCTTGATCACCTTCGAAATGCTCACAAAATTTAACCAACAAAAACGAGATATCATTGAGATGATTGTGACAGCCAGAAAAATACGCATATACAGACTTTTCACTATGCAATGCTTCTTGAGATAACGATTTTTTCGCCACATTTCTACGTTGGTTTACGCCCAGTCCGTTCGTATATCTACAAGGAACCCAGGGAAAGTCATTCCGACAAAAACTCGATACCATATTTGATTACCGTTGTATAACTCTCATTTTTTTCTCTGGCGGATTTAATTTTTGCCGGATAATTCTAGTAAAACCGATTATAACTTCTAAATTCATTTAAAAGTATTTTTTCAATATAATTTCATTGGTTTACGAGAGTAGCAATGTAGAATGATGTACATATAGCCTACCAACTACGTGTACACAGCTAGGATTAAATGACTAATTATTAAATATTAAGTTACATTTTAATCTTACCTTTAGTGTAATATTGATGTAAATGCAATTTTTTTTACTTCAAGTCAACGCATGTAAATCACAGGACTATTCTAGCGTTGTTCATTCTTACTCTCATATCTTTCCTATGTTACATCTTAAGAATCATTGCACGAGAATTACGCCCAACCGTGCTCAATGAACATCTCATATTTCGATGAAACTTTGCCCATGTGCAGCCTCAGGTGAGATATCAAAACATTCAAAATTTCAGCTTCTAAAACCTTTCCTTTGCTCCGATATTCAATTTACGATCTAGGATCTATAGAGAAAAAAGGATGGCTACCATACACAGTTGCATGGATTGCCGATACCACCATTTTTCAACAGTAGTTTGTAGTCATGAAACTTTCTGGATATATACTGCTATAGATGCCCTACACATTGGTACACTCAAATTCATTTTCTGCAGCGCTCAATAAAATAGAGATATTTTATAGGCTTTTAGTGGCCCAATCACCTTGTGATCAGGATTTCTATGACCTAGTAGGGATCTATGAGCTCCCGTTTGAGAAATAAGTACTGATACGTCTGATGTACCAGAAATCATTTTCAAAAGTTCGATCTCTTGATATTGGTCAACAGAAAAATTTTATTCAATGTGTATCAACCAGTCTATGTAAGCCACGATCGAAACCTCTCAAACGAGGTCGTCAGGTTCTGCTCAATTCATGGTATTCGTTTAGAGGCAAGCGTTTTAAGAATTTATGCGCAAGCTGTTTCAAAATAAAATTGTTCTGTTCCCAAGATATTGGACTTTTTCTGAGCGCACTATCATCTAAAGAGCACATTTTTGCGCTTTCTATTACATTAAAATTTCAGCACTGCTGTAACTGTTCGACTTGAAATTTAAACAAAAAATGTACCGCAATGGTATGTATTTATCTTACAAATATGGCTATACACAACTGAATGGTTTGGGAGTTGTATGATAGTATCAGGTACACGAAAAATGGTCATTTTCGCGTTTTGTGCATACAAGTCATTTTTAAAACAATTATCGTACAGACTTCCTGTTATCACTATAGACAGAGCTCATTGAGCAGTTGCTCTGGTGAAAAATAGAGACGCGGCCAGATTCCAGGAGCTCAGAGCTCTTCAAGAACCCTGCACTCTTCAAACCGCTATCTGGTTGGGATTTCAAAGCTATTACACCTGTTCGACCTCTTAGAATTCTTAGAACTCTTAGAACTCTTAGAATTCTTAGAACTCTTATAACCCTGGCAGCTCTGGAAGGTCATCCAGATACTTGTATGTTTCAAGATGGCCCATGGTTTTTCGAGATGTGCTTAATTTGGAGGTGGCATTAAAGGCTATTGGATTGATGCAGTGTTTGAACAACCAAACTAAATTGAGTTTTAAGAAACGAAAGTTGTGAAATATCCCTAGGGAAAATCTTTGATGATTCCGTCCCGGATCTTTGACAGATATGATCAGGATCCTGGTAGGATTCGCTATTTTTTCCTGAGTAAACGACTAATTTCTGAAAGAAGTGTGTAGTCACGGAATTTCAGGATCCTAACAGGATTCAAAACAATATTTTCTAGGATCCCGGCAGTATTATCATTGTTTTTGGACCCGGATTCATCGAGGAAATCAAAGATTCCTGAAAGAAGTGTGTAGCCATGAAATTGTAGGATCCTGTCAGGATTTCAAAAACTCAAAATTAGGAAAAAAAAGATTTCTGATAACATCTTTGATGATTTGACTAGGTTTTCTCGAAGGTGTTATCCAATTACCTGGCAGAATCTTTTTAGGATTGGGCTAAGTTTCGATGAGGAATGTATTAGTTTCTTGACAGGATGGTTGCAGGAGTTTCTAAATAGAACATAAGAGAAATGAACACAGAGTATCGATCTCTAGACCTACAGTTTACATACCGATTAGCTTACCCAACTAGATATGCCATGGCCGGTCATGTCAATCTATCTCACTTCAAAGTTCAATATCTTTGTTTCTGACATCACGACAATATCCGGATATACGACCACTACTGACATCATTCTGTGTGCTAAATGTACTTCTATTCGACCGATTTGATGCGTTATAGCGATTTCCGGGAGATTCGTTCTGAGCACATCTATGAACGGCAATCATAAAGCGGATAAATAGGGCATATACGGCATATAGGGCATAAAGGGCATATAAGGCGTATAGGGCAAATAGGACATATAAGGCATATAGGGCATATAGGGCGGTGTGGGTGTGGGGTGTGTATTGATAGCACTAAACCACATCAACATCAACCTACAAGAATTTATCTGTTCTCCTCTCTGAGATACCGCCACGTAAAACATGTGATCTTCTTCTTCTGGTACTGAAATGTTTCGTAAGCCACAGTACCTTAATAAACTGAAGGTACGGATATGTCCAATACTTTAATAATTTCCATTAATTTCAAAGATGCTATTTGCTAGAAATAAGTATTTAAAATATTTAAATATTCCTTTCACTACTTCATGCCAACTATGACTCAATGGCGACATGACTAAGATGCTTTCATAAGTATTGCATCTGTTTCATACTCGGTATTAGAGATCCCGATGCCTTCTTGATGTCAATAACGAATAAGTACCAAAACGATGGAACTAACTTTTTTATTGAAGAAAGATGAGTATATATAGAGGGAATATGTGCCAGGGAATGAGTAAACAAACGTCGATGAGTCAAGGAATAAACATATGACTGTAACAGTCGGCTTCAAGATAACGATCGATTTTAATGGACCTTTTCCGCTAAACACTCGTGAGATTTTCTACACTATCATCTTATGCGCATCGTAACTTCCACCACAATCGAACTTGAAAAAAAGCAATTGCGTTAAACCAATCACAAATACCGCACTTTCCAAAAACAATAATCAGCCAAAACACAGCTTAAAATAATCACTACATATACAATCATAAGACGTTGTTTTCAGCCTTTCGATGCACCCACATTTGAGATATTATGCATGTGTGTAGACGATGTTTTCAGCTTTTCGAGGCACCCACACCCTTCTCCGTAGTTAGTCTCGGTTAAATTTTCATCAATTACGTCGAAACTTTGAAGATGGCAAGACGTGTTTTAGGAGTAAGTTTCAGACGGTTGGTGTTATGCAGTGAGGAGAACTGAAGTGAGAAATGTTGGGAAAAGTGTGAATTTTCGCTGCATTGGTGCGATGCTCATAATGCCAGGAGTTCAGTTGTTGAAGCTGAAATTGATTTGAAGTATGGACCTTAGTGGGATGTAATTCTGTAGAAAATTTCGATTGGATTGAATGAATACGTTTTGAGATATTGCGTAACCAAAAGCGCATTTCGAGAAATTGAAAGTTGAAGTTTCAGTTTAATTCAAGTTTCAAGTTCGACGTGAATGTATATGCCCTATATGCCCTATATGCCTTATATGCCTCATATGCCGTATATGCCTTATAATACAATCATCGCTGCTTGAATTGTTCAGTTTGCCGGATAAGTAGTTTCAATTTCCGGAAACTCATTTGGTATGCGGAATACATACAATCTCCCGACTATTTCTATAACGCATCATATGATTCGACCAATGAATAGTTTATCTTGTCAGACAGCGTAGTCTTGTTTCCCCAATCAGATGGTCTTGGTGTGAGTTACCAAGTCAGTGGGCTACCAAGTCAGATGGTTACCAAGTCAGATAGAGTTAATTAATCAGGTCACTATTAAAGTAGTTAATTAGGATAAAATTCTATTGTAACGATCTAATCTAGAAGTTACAACCCCCGAATGAAATATACCTCAAGGCCACCATCTTGTTAGTCTCTCACCCATACTATTATCCAGCTCTCTTTCTCACTACACAAGAGTACGAGGAATTTTGTCCTTGGCTCACGTATAGTACCAGATGGAGTACGCAACATCACTGTTGGAATATTTATCCCACCATCAGCACGTTAGCATGTCACTAATACGTACGCCTTATGTTATACACTTTCTTGTTTTATTGTATCTACGGTATTTCTCAAGGTCCTTACATGCTTGAAAATAGTACATAAGGAACGAGAGAAATACAGAAGGGCACGGTTTTTGATATTGAAATATAATATATACTCAACATCAAACTTAACAATATCTATAACATCAAAAATCATTACATCTATATCTAGAATGGATCAAATTTGATTCGATATTTTTCGGTCAAGATTTTTATTCGGCGAAGTTGGAGTCAGCGAAAATAAAATTAGGCGAAGCTGTACTAACTCAAGATAACATCGGTTACCGGTGACCTTATTCAGAAGATTTTCAGTGTTTCTATGAAATTTTACTGTAGGTTATCGGGGTCGGGGAATCCGAATCTGAAGTTAGATTTTAGAAATGTTGACTTCATTGTTCGGGTGAAAGAAATGTTTTTTTTGAAAAACCACTGATATTCTATAAAGTTTGGCGAAGTTAAATCGATGACTGGGAAGTCAAACTGCATTGTATTTATCGAATTTTTGTGTTTGATTCTTCCGTGGAAACAGTTGTTTGGTAATTTTCAGGGATGATTCGGGAATCAAGTGAATTTGTTTTAAGGATGAAACGTGCCGTTAACATCATTTGTAGATACGGTGAGGATCCAATATTTTCTAATGGGAATATTTCAGTTCTATTTCTTCTGGGAGGTGCTCGTAATTGAAAAGAGAGGTTGTTTTCTTTATAATTGTACTCGGTGGCGAGAATCGAGAGTTTAGCTTTTATGTAGATTCTCGGAAATGGTTATGGAGCCCTCTTACTTGGAAATAGATTTAATGAATAAGTACTGCGGAGTGTCAATGGAAGAGCTCTTGCCTGAAGAATCAATTGGATTTTTGAGTTAAGCGAAATTGCAATCAACTTGACATTGAGAAAAATGAGTATGGTTCTAAGGGGCGGTTCGGAAGAGAGGCAGCGGCTAGCTGCTGCTCTACTCATGGAGAAAATGGTTATAAGCAGTAGACATGTGTAGTTATACCTCGACGATCTAGATATAGGTTGCTTCAAAAATACTAAAAAGTATCATCGAATTCGAGCGTTCTCAGTGAACTGAAGGGTAGCTTACTTTTAGGGATCGCTGATCGGGAAACCACATTCGATGGAAAACATATTGTAGTGGCTTTCGATTGCTTCGACTCAATTGAAGATTCTGCCCTCTTGAAGCACTGATGAAAGTCGTTATTTTGAAGAATCGGTAGCTTTTTGCAGTTTTTCGGAAGAAGGCTATCATCCTACTATTTTATTTTTATATTCATCATTTGCTTATTTCGCAGCTTGCTCAAATACGGGCTTCGATCGCGAAAATAGAAATCGCTCTCTAGCGGTTTGACACAATTTATTGTGTTTTGATGTAAAGCTGTAAATTAGAGCTAACTTTTCACCAAACAGATTTTCTACGATTCATTCCTAAGTTGAAAAGAGCTAGATGTAATGTTGCGAAACGGCAATGTGTTTGATTGTTTCCACGCGATCTACAATAAAATGGCTATAAACATTAAACAGGAATGGACTTCGAAATGCTATTTCATAAAGACTTCGTTGGTATTGCTAACACCATTTTAAAGCAGTCGTATGTTCTTAGGCTCCTCTAATAATGAACTTATAATGATTCTCTGAAATGCTAGAATTCAACTATGTATTAGCAATAGATCATGCCTACTTTGATGTATCACGATGGATGTTGTACTGTGGGCGCTTCTTAATGCGGTCACGCTTTTTTGAAAATTTCAGACTGATTGAACCATCATAAGTGGCATCATTCTGGCAAGGTGGGAGAGGGAGGATAAGTTGCATCAAATTACAATTCCTCTTCCTAGGTTATGTCTAGCCTTGCTTGTGTGTGCTATACGATTAGTATTTACATGATATGGTATACATTGTGCCAATTTTAGTGAGCTGTTGGTGCATAAGTAACAGTGTTATCAGATGAATTCCGACAGAAAGAAGCATGAAAATGTGTACAAGATCTACTAATCTGCCATCGGGTTTCATGTCATGGTCTAGAATCATATCTATGTTTTTCAAATACTGGAGACCAGTGTTGTTGAAGCTTGCAAAGCAATAAAATTATATCAGAAGAGCACGACATACAGTCGAGGGCTCAGCGAGTTTACTAGATGAGCGTTACTTGTTTTTAGAGAGTAACCTACACAAATACAATCACAAATTGACTGCACTGGGTTGAATTAAAAAAATATTTTACACAATCTTTAAAACGTTTCTGTTGAACGTGTTGAAACCAGTGCAAAGTATCCTATTTTTTCCGTTTTAAATTGTTCAAACGCTTGTAGCTTATTTCAACTCATTGAAGTGATATTTAAAACAAAATTATACACGCTGTTAAAAGCTGAAAAAGGAAAATTTCTGCGAATTTTAAATGGGTTGAATGGAAGGGTTACATGAATTTCGGCCCACGGAATTTTCAGGCTGGACTTTCGGCCCGGTTCAAAATTCCGGAGATTTTTCGGGCCGGTCCGAAAGTCCGAAAATTCTCCGGACTTTCGCACCAATTTTATAAAAATTCATTAAACTCGGAGAAAAACCGAATTTTTTTGAAAATTGGTTTCTAGATTTTTTAGTACCGAGCGAAGCGTCGTAGTACCGAGTGAAGCGTCGTAGTACCGAGTGAAGCGTCGTAGTGCTGAGCGAAGCGTCGTAGTGCCGAGCGAAGCGTCGTAGTGCTGAGCGAAGTGACGTAGTGCCGAGCGAAGCGACGTAGTGCCGAGCGAAGCGACGTAGTGCCGAGCGAAGCGGCGTTTTTCATTCTATAGAAGAAAAACTAGTTGAAATAAAAAACCGAATTTATACCTAATATACATCTCAACGAATTTCGAAAAATATACAAGCAATAGTGAATTCTACATCTAAAATAAAACTAAAAAATGTGCATCCTTAAGCAAATATTGAGATTACACTAGATTCGTTCGTGCTTGTTGTGGATAAACGATATGTATCTTAAAACGCCATACTATGTTCTGTAATAATAGAAGTGCTGTTTTTCAACACTATATTACTTCGCTCGGCACTACGACGCTTCGCTTGGTACTAAAAATATCTAGAAACCAATTTTCAAAAAAATTCGTTTTTTCTCCGAGTTTAATGAATTTGTATAAAATTGGTCCGAAAATTCCTTGGGCCGAAATTCCGGTCTCCCGAATGGAAAAACTAAGGGTCATTCTAACGTGTTCACTCTTCATTTTTGACTGTCAGGATATTTCAATCCTTCTAATGATTTATTTTTAATAAGATGCCTTGAAGACATAAAACTATGCTATAATTGCTTCATTGAATTCTACGTCAAATCTATTCGATTCAGTTCCTTTCTCAAAAAACGCGCACTGAACCCACACTTGGCCTATTCAAAGATGTTTAATGTTTCAGTAGCTTTGTTCAAACTTTTTAAATAGCATTGTTGCTCACTTCAAGTTTCATCATCAACGGGTGTCAAGGACGTTTTTAACTTTTTCCTGTTAGTATAAATATTATTCTCGGGTTAATATGACGACAGCATGTTGAATACATGGTAGAGATACATTACTTTTTGTAACTCATTCACGATTATTGAGTATCTTATATAAGCTTCAGTATTTTAATGTAGCTCTCATTGGTATCGTTCTTTTTTTTTCTAGCGATACAATTGATACAGTAGGAAAATATTGACTAACCAAAGCTGTTCCATAGGAATGTTCTATACTTCAGGATAGATATTACTTATAAAATCTTCTTCTAGTATATTATAATTTTGTGCTACTATGTTTCTAAGCTCATGAGCTTGTCAATGGGATTAGTATGACATTCAAAATTCTTTCTTTCGAGATATATGAAGTTGAATTTTTCGATTATTTAGAGCTAACATATGAAATAAAATTCAATGCAGTTTACGAAACTCGAAATTCCTGATATTGTTTTGATTGAGCCGCGGCGCTTGGAAGATGCTCGTGGCTGTTTCATAGAAGTTTTTCATGAGAAATTATTTCGAGAATATGTAGCTGATGTTCATTTTGTGCAAGATAATGAGGCAATGTCTACAGCAACTGGAACAGTTCGAGGTTTACATTTTCAAAAACCACCGGCAGCACATGGCAAGCTAGTGCGAGTCTTGAGTGGTGCAGTTTATGATGTTGCTGTCGATATTCGACACGGTTCACCCTATTTTGGCAAACACGTTGGACTTGTACTCGATGCCTTATCAGGAAAGATGCTTTGGATACCGCCCGGTTTCGCCCACGGCTATTGTACTTTGAAAACTGATAGCACTATTGCTTACAAACTAACAGACTTTTACAGCGCTGAATATGATGCTGGTACTGCATGGAATGATTTGACTCTTGGAATTAACTGGCCTGTGGACCCCAGCAATGCTATAATATCAGACAAAGATCGTTCTCTCCCAGCTTTCGGGAATTTACCACCGTTGTTCACCTATACAGAGCTCATTCAAGCGATGACAGACATTTAAGCAACGTATAATTCGAGAACTCTTCATAAGTATGCTCTATTAACTTATATTGTGAGAAAATTGTCCACAAAATCTTTAATAAACCTTAATCTTGTGTGTCAATTGGTGGATCTTTTAAAAATGTCAACCATTATTGTTTGAATAACTCTTGCAACATGATAGCTATTTAGTTCTGGTTTTTTCCCATTTGATAAAGCAGTGCAGGATATGACTGACTATGTACCAGCCATTGGACTATAAAAACATTTCTACATAAATTTGTGAACGAATATCTGCTTTCATGTGCCGCTTCTATAGTTCTCATAGGCACACAGACTGAATTTAAGCCAAAACGTAGCCTAAAACATGCACTATTAATCATGAACTTTGAACAGTTTTTGACTCTTTACTTCGAAGAGTTACAGCTTTTGCGACATAACGAATAAAACATTTTTTACATGCTAAATGTGAGCAAATTAAGATTTGATGCGTTATAGCGATTTCCGGGAGATTCGTTCTGAGCACATCTATGGACGGCAATCATAAAGCGGACAGATAGGGCATATAGGGCATACACTGTAAAAAAAAAGGGTAGAATAATAAACCCTTTAAGGGTTTATGAAAGTGCTACGTAGACTAAACCCTTTTACCGTATGTGAAAAGTTTCTTAATCCCTTTCATATACCCTTAGAAGGGTTTATGAAAGGGTATTTGATTTTCATAAACCCTAAAAGGGTTTAGTCTACGTTGCACTTTCATAAACCCTTATAAGGGTATTTAATTTTCATA